ATGGATGTAAGGAAGGGGGTAACCTCCCAATAACCATGCGGTTAAGACACTTACTCGGATGATTCTGTGTCAAAGGGATCTCATGAGGAGGATCTGCCACAATAACATGAGTCTGACAAACATCTCCAACTACCATATTGGGGGCAGATTGAGCATCGGGAACCGTAGCTGCAACCTCCACATCCATATCAGGTTCTGGGATGGGAGGGTCGATGTGTGCCTGCTGACCCATTGGTGGGGAAAACCCATGAGGGATGGGATCAACTCACACCCAACGTACAACCACGTCCAAACATTGTAGTTGGCTCTTCATAGCTGATCTCACATAGTTCTCCCACTGATCTGCACACCCAATTGGGATCATTCGCCTGAGGATGTTGGGAGGAGAACCTAGGTGCAGTACACCCTCAACTGCAATGCCATCATCTCCAAGGCAATGCAGCTCCTCCCGAGCCCTTGCAACTATCTCACTAAATGAAGGCCTATCATTGAATAGCACAGGCATGCTTTGCATGTCAACAAACTCAACATATCCATAGCGATTGTATTCAACGGTGCCTCCATGATATATGGTCACTAGGTTATCCATCTAGTTCAAATACATAACGAAACACATGTCCTTTAGTCCAAATTAGTCGATAGATAGTACCTAACAAGTACTTTCTAACTATAAACTAAGTAAATAAGATAATAACTACATACATAGATATAATGTACTAACTAAATAGCTACATCCTATTTAGTTTACTAAATCTGTAACTACCTATCTAAGTAGCTGTCTAACTATAGCTATGTACCTATGTATCTATATTTTTATCTATCTACATATCTATCTCACTAGATCACTAACTAAATCACCTACCTGAGTCATCACATTAACTAGTAAATAACAAATGCAAAAACTATTACACTACAATCGTAGCTAACTAAGTACGCACATTGCAAATTCACAATTTTTACCTGTCCGACGACGGAGTTGTGGACGTCGACGGAGTCGCAGCAGACGCCGGGCGTGGGTTAGGCCAATGAGCCGGGCCGGCGGTGGCATGGCCAGGCACTGCAGGTGCCGGGGCCGGTGGGGGCTCGGCCGAGGACGGCAGTGGCGCGCGGCGGGCGTGGGAAGCCCGGTGCACTGCGCGGCGTGGCGCGGCCTAGGCCGGCGGTGGCGGGCGGCACGGTCACGGTCATGGCACTGGCGCGGCGGGGCGCGGCCAAGGCGGCCGCAGGCGCGGATGGCACGTCGGGATAGCCGCCGGAGCGGGGACCGGCGCAGCCACGGGGCGCGGCGGTCCGGCGGGGGGCGGCGCGGCCTCGGTGGCGGCATGGCGTGGGCGGCCAGGCGCGAGGCGGGCGCGGGGACGGCGAGGGGATCGGCGTGGCACGGGAGGCCGGCGCGAGCGCGGGGCACGACGGTCCGGTGCGGGCGCGGGCGCGGGGCGGCGCGGGGCATGGTGAGGGTGAGGGCGCGCGGGCGCGGGTGACCGGGTGAGGGAGAGGGCGCGGGCGGCGGCGGCGGTTCTCTGCTCGGGCGAGGGAAAAGCGAGAGAGAGAGAGAGGGAGAGGAAGAGAGAAAGATTGGGGCCCATACGTAAGACAGGCTGCATGCCATGTCACCGTCACGTTGGCTTCGAGTCCAAGAGCTCGACGCTAGGGACGCTGGCGCCGAGATGTGTTAGCTCGGCGCCAGCAATGATGGTGCCGAGCTAAGGGTACAGATTTTAAAAATGTTTCTCCAGGGACATATTTGTGATTTTTTTTCAAAAAAAAGGTTAAAAATAAAAAATTCGGAAGGCGAGTGGATGCCTGGGTCTCACCGCGCGCGGAGCTCTAACCTCTCGTGTGCTGGGTGCCCATCATTAAGCATCTCGGGAACTTCCGGGCCGGGACTTAGTTGTCACGCTCATGCCACGCCTAGCTACTTGCTGTTGGGCTCCCGTCGGACCAGCTTGCATGTCCAAATGTGATTACGACGTGTCGTGTGTGAGACACCGGCCCGGCCCACAAACCAGCTAGAGTTCAGATATATAAAAATTCTTCCGTTCAATGTAATATTTTGGCCAACTTTATGGATTTCTAGCACGTATAGAGCAAACAAAAAGAAGAAGGCCTTCGTGAAAGTTTGTTTTTGATATCAACATGCTTGTCATCATGAAATCAGCACTTCTATAACTAAGATGCATGGCTTTGAAACAGATATTACTCCTATAAGATAATCGCCCCCATCTGCATGTTGTGAATCAGCGGCAGACAACCCATAGATGAGAGAAAGAGTCGTTGTTCAACAAATTAAAAACTAAAGCCACACCCACAAAAAACAAATTAAAGTCATCACAGTGCTAATAACACTACTACAGAAAGGCGATGAACATTGACTATATCACCAAGGACTTTTACTAACGGGCGCCAAAACCGTCGGTGATGAACATTTTCTAGTAGTGTAAGTGCTGACACATACCATTCCAAGTATCCAACATGAAAATAGACACATGAGCAGAATGAATATATCTGACAATAGAGCTAGCCAGCAGAACTCACAAATTAACCCATACGATCTCAATGCATGTTTTGAACAATTATTAATTAGGATTACAACGCTCGGTCGATATGATCTTGCTCATCAATTAATTCTTCATGTGCTAGCTTCTTCTTCTTCTTCTTTTGAGATGATCTTCATGCGCTAGCTAGCTAGATGTTGCTCGCTCCTGCAGGCCCAGGGCAGATAGGGTTGCAGGCGGGGCAATGGGCCTGGCATTCCTTATATGTCCTGAAACAATAGTCCTCCTGCTGGCAGCAGTAGCAATTGCCGTGAAAACAGTAGAATTTATATGTGCAGAATATAAGATGAATCTCGCTCCCATCGCCTGATGTAGTTGTGGAGCCGTTCACTGTAGAAGCATTATTATTGCCACTTGTCTTGGTAGCCTTAAGGGCGCCTACTGTTTCTTCGGCCATCAGTAGCTTCTTGCTGCTGCTGCCTACAAATTGCAGCAATAGGTGCAGTCATCAGTACGGGCGCACGCATATATTCATAAATTCAAATATTCAATGGCAAGCCACATATATAATACATGACAATTTCGCATGAGACACATCGTGAGGACGAGGAGATTATGAGTAACATTAACTAATTACCTATCACCGGCAATGCAAGACATCCAAAGAGCAATGCAAAAATTGTGGTCATCGCGCAAACGTGACCCCTACCACTGCTCCTCATGTTGGGTCTTTGTTTTTTGGAAGATCTTGCTTGAGCAGAATGAGTAGTGTTGGCATTTAGCATTGGCGTCAATACCTCAATCAATATATAGGGAGAGAAATACAAAACCTTATAGGCATTAATTGGGATATATTATTTTGTTCATTTATTTGGCTACTAGTAAAATATATAGGTAAATATGAAGCGAGACGGGATAGATTTGGCTGTTTGGGTAACTTGCGTATATATTTATTAGCTATCTGATCTATCTTGTAATGTCTATATCAATTTGAATATATATTTGCCACGAGTAAGATCTGATCCCAATAGTGGAGTTGTAGATGGAGCTGGAATTGAATGCATATATATCGACTTTGTGGTATATTAAATGGGTTCTAACTGTTGCATTGGCTTCGTTAGGACAGTCTAGCTTGTGACTAGGATAGTTCCTATAGAATTAACTGCATTGCCACATGTTTAGTGGCAATGCAAAAATCTAACATGGTAAACGATACCTAACAAAGAAAGAGAAGAAAAACCCGAATACATAGTTTCTTGCATGAGAAAAGAAATCGGCACAAACTACAAGCAGTGAAGAAACGGACCACCTTGTGTTGGGAGCCTCCACCGTTTCGTCCTCACATGTTTAGTGGGGTCTACATTGAGCAAACTCATCACCCGGTAGAGTGCCTTCGTCGTCACATGTACTATGGACGTCGGATAGGCTCGAGGCGAGTGGTTAGCCCAACAATGTTGTTTGCCCCTTTGTCATGAGAGAACCAGAAACTATCCTCCACCTCCTTCCTCATTGCAGACACTCCAGGCGTATTTGGAAGGAAACTTGCCGCTTTGATAGGACTCAGTGGTCTCTTTTCGTCTTTCTGGTCACAAAGCGACTGACTTCATCAGTGATGGACTTCCCTCCAGTGGCGAATCTAACCGAGAACATCATCGGGATCATCGAGCTCTGCTTCATTGCATAATACAAAATTTCTTCAACTTTAGCAATGTTTTGCTAAAGGATTTGTAAATTTTATCAGGGTCAACGCACCGCAATAAACCCCTCTAAATTCGCCCCTGCTTCCCTCTCAACTGTACCTTGCAATTCTAGGAAAGGAATGTGCTCTCTGAGCATCTTAATCTCATGGGAAATTCAAAATGTAAGAAATACTCGAATTTTCAATCACAAAGAATTATCTTGTAATCAGCTATTATAGAAAATAAAGGATGAATGCAGAGTCTGGATCATGGCAGTAGCAAAAACATACTACGATTTTGACATGCCGATGATGAGAGTTTTTTACACTGTATATTTCTTTGCACATGTCTTTTTTCTTGGGCTGTCTTGGCTCATCTTGTTTTTAATATAACAGGCAGTCCTTCTGCCTCGTTTGTTAAAAAAAAGTTGTATGGATTTGAATCAGCACAATAGACAACCGAGGAGAGAAAGCGTTATTCAACAAACGCTTTCAAAAAGCCCAAATTACCTTGAGGCTCTCAAGGAAATTGACAGCCTCAAGGTAATTCAGAATTTTGGCTGTGAAAAAACTAAAGCCACCCACCGAAATAAAGGCATCACACATCACACTGCTTAGTGCTAACATCTGAATCCAACATGAAAACAAACACCAAATGAGCAGAATCTGACAACAGAGATAGCTAGTAGACCTCGCAAGCTCAAATAAGACGAATGGATGACTAAGATGTCCAAGAAACAAATAACCCTTACGATCTCAATGCATGTTTTAAACAATTATTAGGAGGACAACGCTCGGTTGATCTTGCTGAATCAATTCTTCATGCGCTAGCTAGTTGGTGCCCGCTCCACCAGGCAGCGGGCAGCGAGGGTTGAGGCTGGGCAATGGGCCTGGCATTCTTGGAACGTACTGAAACAGCCCGCCTTTTGGCAGCAGTAGCAATTGCTGCGAAGACACAAGAATTGATATGTGCACAGTATAAGATAAATCTTGCTCTTATCGCCTGATATAGTGGAGGAGTCGTTCACTGTAGAAGCCTTATTCTTGCCACTTGTCTTGGTAGCAAGAGCGCCTACTGTATCTTCGGCCCTCAGTAGCTTGCTGCTGCGGCCTACAAATTGCAGCAATAATGCAGTCATCAGTACGATACATGATAACAAACATGGGACACATCATGATCGAGGACGAGTAAAATTAACTAATTACCTATCACAGGCAATGCAAGACATCCAAAGAGCAATGCAAAAAATATGGTCATCGCGCAAACGTGACCCCTACCACCGCTCCTCATGTTGGATCTTAACATGTGGTATACGCTGAGCTCTTGCTTGAGCGACGAGTGAGCTAGTAGTGTTAGCAATCAGCATTGTCCTCAATTCCTCAATTAATATATATATATATATATATATATATATATAAATCTATATAGGCATTAATTGTAGGCATTAATTGTGATATGTATATTTTTGTTCATTTATTTGGTTACTAAATATATTAGTAAACATGGAGAGAGACTGGGTTAGATTTGGCTGTTTGGGTAACTTGCGTATATATTTATTAGCTATTTGATATATCTTGATCCTAACAGTGGAGTATAGATGGAGCTGGAATTAAATGCACACATATTTGTGTTATACACTATTATATTAAATGTGGGCTCTAACTCTTGGGTTGGCTTCCTTAGGCTAGTCTAGCTTGTGACTAGGCTAGTTTCTACACAATTAATTGCACTGCCACCTAAGTAAAAATATGACATGTCAAACAACCTAACGAAGGAAGGGAAGAAAAACTAAAGATATCGTTTCTTGCTTGAGAAATGAAGTCGGAACAAACTACAAGCAGTGACCTGTTTGGCAGAGCCGCCTGCCGCCCCTGTCGGCCGCCCACGGGCCGACAGGGAGCCGGAGCCATTTTTCTCTCTCCTCTTTAACTCTCTCACAAACACAGGCGGAGCTCATTTTTTGGGCTCCGCGGCTCCGGCTCCAGCTCCGCCTGGCACCTATCGACCCGTGGGCGGCCGACAGGGGCGGGAGCCGGAGCCGCAGGAGCCCTGCCAAACAGGTCATCTTGTGTTTGGATCCCAAATTGGCCATCTTGTGTTTGGATCTTCCACCGTGTTGTCCTCACATGTTTAATGGGGCCCACATTGAGAAGACCCATTGCCCATGAGAGTACCTTCGTCGTCACATGTACGACTTATGCTCTATATGTCTTTATTTTGTCCCTTAGGTGTATATGAATATCCTAAGTACTTTGTGTTAATAATATTTTTGTTGCTTATTTAACAACCTATGTGTTAACACTATACCACAGCCAATCTGTAGCGACTCCAAATCGGTCGCTATAAGTCGTTATAGTGACCGATCATCGGTCGCTATAACTTTATAGCGACCTATCGTTGGACGCAAATATTTATAGGGACCGATGATTTGTTACATGTTTTAGCCAATGATTTGAGGATATCAAACTTTTTAGCAACCAATAATTAGTCACTATGAACTGGCACAGTTATGTATAATATTATTAATTTCATATTAACCAGATTTCAAACATAATAAACATCCATAACATGTCACATTATTCATCAATCACATACATATGTAAACCATAGCTGCCCACAACACTCATCAAGCACATTATCTGATAAAGGTATCTCTCAAGTCTTCATTTAAGCCAACATTTAGCAATACATCAAGTTTTATCATCTTGATCCATGACAGGTCATTACAAAAGGAAAAACACACATACAACCTAGCTAGGTCAAATGGCAGGGTCATATGTTTGCTTGTACAATCTAACTAGATTCACCAAAAAATGTCTCATCTCCGTCAAAAGCAAAATGTCATCTGTTGGCTTCCTGCTGATAGCATCATGTACACCTTCAAGGCCTCCCTCAACCTGAAACATGAAGAAGGTAAGGACATACAGTAGCAACTAAATTATATAGACAATGAGATAGATGTTACTAATGCATATTATATTCATAGAAGGACAGAAATCTTTAGATAATGACATTATTTCGCACTCTTACATTGTCATGAAAAGGTAAGATCAACTGTCAATAGGCATATTCATTGACAAGGGAACAACTGAAGATTTAAATGTGCACTCACTCAACCAATCAGTTAGCACACGCACTTTGCGATGTGGTTGCAAGAGAAAAGTTCACTGCTGGCGCACCCATGATGAAATGAAACAAGTTCTATACCTTGTACTATGTACTCCCTGTTCGTCATTTTGTACCCAGTTCGCTATCAAGCAAGACTGCAAGAACAAGTACAAAATTCAACGCGCAACAAGTAATTCCGTGCGCAAATCTTGCACAATCACAATCGACATAATCATGCAACCTATAACTGACAAACCCAGACCAAGGAAGTACAGCAACTGAAGCAGCAGCCAAGCAATTCGAAGCAAGGACAGGAAAGCTAGACAAGACAGCCCATCTACTCTGACTTGAGTGACGCTCGCAATAATAGCCTGAATCACTAAAGCACTAGGGAACCGTGTGACTGATCCTACTCCTGATCCTACCATTGCAATTCTACCAGCAGTGACAGGTTCACATGTTTGAGGTGTAATCAACTATGCAAAGAAACGCTTAGTATAATAACAGTTATCTAATTTTAATTTTGAGGTGCTAATGTTTGAGGTGTAATTAACTACCACAATTCAGCAAAAATGCATGAAAACTTACAATGATTGGTTCTGCATTCTGTGTTGGAACACCACTTTTTTTGTATGAGTTTTGATATATACTTCATCTCATCGAGGGGGGTGTCCTAGCTCATGACCCTACAAGTGTTTTAGCTTTCAGTATAAATAATCTGCAGAAAATACCTATGTAAGATAGTGAAAAAAGATAACTATACCAATTCATGTCTAGAACGAGCAAAGCTCCTGGTGCCTGATGTATGATGTATGGCCAACTTAGCATGATTCGCTTTGGCAATTTCCGTGCAAACCTAAGTGAGAAATTATTAGATTATGCACAAATAGATGTATACAAGTTCCACAAGCATATAATAAGATTTTAATATCAACAAGCCTTACTTAAAAGTCAGGAGACATCCAATGAGTTATGAGATACTTCCGATCACTGTCATTAACTCTATCACCATACTTTTTCTTCAGTTGCTCATCTGTTAATCTATCATCAAAATACTGTTTCTTCAAATTTTCCCTAAGTTCCTTCCATTTCTTTCTAGAAGTATTTAAGACCCAATACATACCATCAGCATGAATATCATATTTAGCCTGATTTTCCATGGAAAAATGCATAATCAGTTTCAATATAGGTCACTGAAGTTTCAAAACAGTATGGTGTCTTGTCGGGGACCACAGGAGAAACAATACTGTCCACCACCAAGACTATGGTACCAGTATTCCCCAAGGGAATATGCAGCTCACATGGCGTCAAACGCACGGTGATGTCATCCACGGGGAAGTGCTGCAATGCTTCATCTTGATTTGGGAGCTCAGTGGAAGCGCAACTGCTTCTTAGCTGAGGGAGGCTAATGTTGACTACATGCTCTGATGTTGATGGCTGCCTTTGGCTACTCAACTGTAGTGCCACTTGTCGTTTGATTTCCTCTTGCATTCTCGCCTCCATGCTTAGTTCTCATTCCCACTCTCGCTCCCGCGATTGAAGCACCACCTCCTCTAACCTACGGATCCGCTCTGCCTCCTCATCCTTCCTTCGCTAGCGGCTTCTGTAGGTAGCGGCGTCCTCAGGGAAGCCATGCCGCCATGAAATCAACCCTTTGCCTCACGTTCGCCCAAGGTGTTCAGGAGTCTGGAGGGCGTACGTGAGCTCATCCTTCTCTCGGTTGGGCACAAAGGCACCACTGGCAGAAGCATCTACAATATAAAAAAGTCTTCATGCCGCTTCTCTGATTGTTCCACCATCAACCGACTCCCCGGTCTCTGGGTCCAGTGATCCATCATGCGTGAAAAACCAATTCTTGAAGCGTTTGGGCCAATCGATTGAAAATGACTGGATCCCTTTGGCAAGTAGGTCTTCTTCCATTCTTTGCCACTTTGGAATGGCACTCCTGTAGTCACCTGATCCCATTTTGTGATGGTACCGCTTATGTCACACATTCTGTTGGTTCCTTCTCACCCGTTCCTCACCCCCTTCCGTGGTCTTGTACTTCACAAATTTAGGCCAATCGTCCCTCAACTTTTTGTATGGGCTATTTTCACTAAAATCTATAGTTAGATTCTTCTAGACAAATTTAGTGTACAACTTCTTCTTTCAGGTCTGGAATTGTGTGGCCATCTTCTTGAGAGCCCAACTTTTAACTAGATTTCTTAAATCTACACCTGCTGGTAGAGTGAAATGTGCAGTGACTGAATCCCAATGAATGTCCTTTTCTCGCTCAAAGACAAAACTGATTAGAGGAGCATCCTTCCTCTTTTTTCATTCACGGACGTTGATCGGGACCCTGTCCCTAACAAGAACCCCACAGTGGTTTACAAACTTCTTTGCATTGTTTTTTGGTAGGAGCGGTTCGCCGGTATTAGGATCGACTTATGTGATTATGTAGTGGCCCTCCAACGGTTTTGTCGGGCCTCGTACACTTTTCATCGACGTCGTCGATCCAGAGGGCTACTGTAACACCCTCGGTGTTATGCCCAAAACAAATTACTAAACCATGTCATGAGCATCATGTTTACGTGATAATGCATGTGATGGAATGAATAGATGAAGTATTGCATCCTAAAATGATCAATAAAAATGCTAAACAAGAAGCTATTCCATAACTTAGGCAATTATCAAGTAGGGTTTTAAACCAATTTTTATGGAACAAAATACTATAGAACATGTGTGTGATGCTTAAATAAAGTTTGAAGTACAAACTTTGTAGATGACAATTGAATACTTGCTGTGGAAAAATAACATTGCGAGCTAACATTTCTAATAGCCTAAAAATGGAACTTGAAATCAAATTCAGATCAAGGACTTAGAAGAATTTAAGTATATATAAGCAACAAGACAATGCAATGTTTGGCGATTTATTTTGTGAAATCGAGTTAGGAGGTGGTGTCGTGTTTTAGCTCAGGTTGGAAGCCTGATATGCTCTCTGGAGCATAGTGAAGATGGTTTAGGCTCAAGAGCATACGTTTAGTTGTTATAGGCGCTTTAAATTTCGTGCGCGACACGTTCTTGGGTTGGTTGGCCGGGTGGGCGCGGTCACCACGTCCCAGAGGCACGACGTCGCCTCACTAGCTCTCCCAGCGCGCGGCTGGCCGAGGCCACCTCCGACTGGGCCGTGGCCTGACGCTGCGGGCCGCTACGCTGCC